GTCGGCGATTCTTTACAATTAATCTCGCGAGAATTACGCGCGCGCGCGCCCGGCACAGCTCGACAGGCATTTCGGATAATCCCGGATGGCGCCGCGCAATATTCCGGCGAACGCGCATCGGTGCATCCCGATGGCGCATGTCTATCGAAAAACCAAAGAGATCTCTCCGTTGTAGTTTCGCTCGGCTGGGGCCAGGATCAGGGATGGCACTCGAGACACACCCGGGGGATTTTCGAACGAAAAGTTCCGCTGGAAACTCCAGTCTCTCTCGCTTATCCAGAGTTCAACCTCTCTCTTCTCCCGTTTCCCTCTCGCTCCTCCCCTCCCCCCCGCCCCGGCTCACCTCACTCTTCTCGTAGCAAGCGTCCCCCGTTGCTTTTCGCAACGCGCGCCGCTCCGGCTGCATATAGTTTTCCCTTCGCGCACACACGAGAGAGAGAGAGAGAGAGAGAGCTCCGGTCGAAAGCTATCGCGAAAATATAGACCGTGAAATTTCTAAACGGGATTTAAAGTTCCGCGCGACCAATTTCTAGCCGCCGTTTAACCTCCCTGTACGTAATTACCGAGATAACGAGCTTTGTAAAACGGTCGGGAACTCCGGCTGCGGAAGAAGAGATTAAGCGAGCCGTTTATTCTGTAAGTGCTGTAAGTCAAATTTGCGAAATATAACGAGTTTAAACGAGACCGGCGGGAGGGGGGAGGTGGGGACGCGAGAGCAATTTAAGAGCGCGCGGAGAGAGATGATACCCGGGGCTCTCTATTTATGTCGCATAAATTTTCATGGGATTTCGATACTCGGGCCGCGCGCGACTCACGCCGCCACGATTTCTGTCCGGAGAGTTCTCGGCTGAAAGCGACGAGAGACAGGTCCAAAAATCACCCGAGAGACGCTTCTCAGGGGCGAACGTGCGCCTTCGATTCTGCAGACTGCTCTGCTTGTCGACTCGAGGAGATCCGAGGCGAGGTGTAGCGCATGATTAATTATCGACACATATCGAACTGATTAAGCGGATTAATCGTAATTCCCCGCGGGACTGCGAGAGCTATTAGTGACGCACGGCTTGCTGATTCCTCAAGTGCTCCCGGTATAAATTATCCGGCATCTTAATAATACACTGCGCGTAATTGCATCGTTATTTTACAACGTGGTCGTGCGCCTCGAGAGATTTCGACGTTGAAAATTCGAGCGTTATCCGGAAAATATTTCACGGTGCATTTCCGAGCGATCTCGCCATGAAGCATGCGTTACGCACGCGCAACACGAAATTGTCAGAATAAATAATTTTTAACAAATATGTAGATATTTTAAGCTCTGGAAACACGTCAGGCGAATAATAGCCGTCATCGTGTCTAATTTTTATTTGTTAGTAATCGTAACGATCGTTCAATCAAACGCAAAACGAATGATTGTATCGTATCGAGATTTCGAACGTAACAGTATACAGTGATAGCGAGAAAGTGACGACAGAACATGTGAGGATAATTGAATTGAAGGGTCGAGCTTAGTTGATCGCGAATTATACGATATATAAAAGTACGATTTTTTTTTACGGCGCGTTTGTTTCTGACGGCGAAGCAAATTTCTTCTCTTGATTGTTCTCGATCGACGCGAACGACGCGAGAAAGTCTCCGGGACGCTAGACTGAGGCCTGGCCTACAATATGTCGTTTGTCGGAGTTGGAACTCGAACGCATGCGCACTATATCGTGCGCTATCGTATAAAGTTGTCACAAGTTGACTGTCGGTGTCGGAACGAGGGATGTCCATGTCCCATCTTTTTCGACTTATGACTACGACTGTTGGTCGACACGGACAAGTGAATTGTGACAACTTCATATGATAGCCGACAATCCAGTGCGCATATATACTGCGTCCGACAAACGACGTTTCGCAGATCAGGCCTGTGACGAATTGATTCGACACAGAGAGAAAGTTCGCAAAACCGCGAGCGAACGACGAGGAAACCGCAAAAGAAGCGCGAGTGAATTCCATCCAAGGCTTCATTCTCTTCGTGTGAAGCGCAGAGTTTTCTCTTATTCAAAGCTTTGAGTAATTAAATCCTACGCGTTGTATCGCTCTCTCGCTCGTTCTGTTTCTCAAGTTTCCCCGTGAAACTCAATACAACGGACGAAAAGAGACGGATAGACAGAAGGTGTCGAGAAAACTATCATAATCCCCATTGCGGTTTGCAGTCACGCGATATAAATTTCTCGATATTATCTTTCCCATAATATAATAATTCCGCGCGACACAAACAATATTAATTTCCAAACATGTTGGAAACTCACAATTCTCCCTCTCTTCGTCGTTTCTGATATCCACGGAAACGAGAAATCGGTGCTTTGCGATATCTCACCGAGCCGATTTCATATTTCCATTTCAGTCGTGCAGATTAACTTCCGCTGAAATTTGGAAACACTCGATATTTCTTACCGCGACTATCCAACGGATCCTCACGTCGAGAGCGAACGACTGCATGCTCCGAAAAAGCGTGCTGCTCTCAGCCTCAGAATGGTCTTTACCCGGTCTGGGAAGGAAGATGTCGACGAGCGATCGCTCCGGCGATTGAATCGGCGGCGCGTGCTCAAAGGCGAGCACTTCCCGGGCAGACGATAGCGCCGCATTCCGTCGCGTCTGTTTACGCTTGCACCTGTTTACGGCCTTGCTCCCCACTACCGTTCACTGGCCGCCGACCACGCGGTCATTCACGCGCTGCACAACACAACATGGCCGCCCGAGCACATGCTTGACCGAGCACGTGGTCGCCCCTCTCGCTCGCGCGCACGCCGCAACTTTGGCGGGCCGTAACTCGGGAACGAATCGACGTAGGGACGAGAAACAAAAAGCAATCTCTTTGGCGCGCGATCCCGCGCGCGTCGGGATTGCTCTTTTATCGGCAATCCGGCCAGACGTCGCGCCAGATTACGGTCGATAGGCTCTTTACGCGACTACACCGTCTAGATTCTTCCCTTCGTCACTTTTATCGTGACGATCACGAGGTTAATGTTATCGCTGCAGTTATCGACGCGCGAGGGAGTCTATGAAAGGCGCCCTCATTCCTCGCGCGATCTCTCTCGAAGCGCTTTCAATCAATGTCTCATCGTTATGTTATCATTCAGTGACAAGTATTCAATCTCTCTCTCTCTCTCTCTCTCTCTCTCTCTCTCTTTCTCTCTCTCTTTCTCTTTCTCCGCTGTTCTCAACAAACGTACGATATATTAATCTAAAACATCGAATAATAATGAAATATTTATATTGTCGGTAAATGTGGCAATCTCATACTTGATTGATAATCAGCGAATTGGAGTTAATACCCGACGTTGACGTGCGCTAATACATCGATAATAATCTTGTGATGGAATATTCCATTTGCGAATTAAACGTCATCGCGTCCTCCGCAGCGGATGCATGTCTTTCCGGCTGAGTAATTCACACGTCGATTTTTATAGCGCATTTAGATGAAACAGAGACGCTGTTTGCGCGCGTTGTAACGTATTCTATAAATATAACGAGAGAAATGATTCGCTCGCGTCGGATCTCCGAGATAACATTATATCGGGCGTAATATGTTACACGGTGCCGAGTACATCGCGACGTTAATACACACATACACACACACACACACACACACGCGCGCGCGCGCGCGAAACGTTAATATTATGATATTACAGGAAAGCGAGGAACAGCCTTTTCGCGCATCCGGCATGTAAATGAACGTAGAGGTAGATATGTAAATTGTAGAGCCGGACGAGAGAGTGACGCCGACATATTCTACGGGTCAACATATTTCGCGAGCGCGACCGTTACGATGATACGTTTGCATGCAGCTGACTGATTTCGGTTCGGCCGTTTGAAAAAGCGGGAATTCCAGCGGCTGATGTGCGCCGAGATTCAATAACTTCGCGATGGAGCGCGATGGATCGCGCGCGTACCCCCTAATCAGGATAGGAGTAATTCGTTTAACAACTCGCAAATGAGCGCACGTTACGATTAGTACAATAAATCCAGGCATTTGCGATTATATATCGAGCAACGATTTCGTTAATAGGCTCGACATGTGATCGAATAATTTGTAATCGAGAGGCGTTTAAATTACCGGACATCGATTTGGTCATCGTCATTGCGTTTAACTAATCTTGCGCTGACCTTGGCCTCATCCCTCCCCCTGCCTCCCTCTGTCTTGTCAATTTGGATAACGACTTGTCCAAAAACGACTGCTCGTGAAATTCCAGTCACAGAATTGTAGATTTCCAAAGATGTCGTTATACCGACGTCTGAATGGCGAAAAACGGAGCTGATCAATAAGGAATATTCCCAATTCGGTGCGGGATGAGGGAGAGGAGTTTCCGATGAGAAATTCAAATTGAATCGAGGCAAGCGAGAAGGGAGGAGATAAACATATCTGTCGCATGGAGCTCGCAATAAGAAAGGCACTGTTTTAAAAAATGACGTAAGAAGCCGGAGAGTTCTTGACTTAAAGTAGACGGGCGGAGAAGAAATGTAGACGCGCGGGTGTTAAACGGTCGAAACGGCATTTCCATAGCGATCCGCCCACACGTACCTCTCCGCGCGAAGAAAAATGACGGCAGTCTCAGGTGGATCTGATATATATACACATGTCCTCCTCCTTCGCGCGCTCGCCGCAACTTCGTTGTTACGAGAGCGAGTTTTCCGCGCGAAGCGAATAAACGAGGCTGCGCGCGCGAGAGCCGAGTTCCATGGAAAAATCGACCAAGAAGTAACACACTTCACCGGCGACTGGCCGATGAAGCCATCTCGGCTCGGAGATGCGATTTCCGCACGCTGTCTCTAATCGGCGAAAGCCACCGGGAGCGATCTCCAGGTGAGAAGGGCAAATTGGACTCGAAGTCAGAGTCGCGTGTCGCGAGTCAAAGTAGCCGCGACGCCGGGCCATCCGGGGCACCCTATATGTACGGGAGTCGCGCGCGCGCGCGCGCACAGCGGCGCCGAGTAACACGCGAAATGCATTTCTGTTTCAGGAAGCGCGTACATCATCAGATGGAGTGCGCCGCAGTTGATGGTCGTGGCGGTGCAGTACATCCTCACGGGGCCCTATATGCCTCCCTACGTGCCCCAGACGGCGAATTAAGACGTCCGCCGCAGGAAAGATGTACCGTCGCGCACCGTGTTCATCCAAAGAGGTCGTCATCGTCGTCATCGTCGTCGTCGGCGGCAGCGGCGACGACAACGGCAACGACGAGGAACAGACAGTGTCCTGGAGTGTTCCTAGAATACACATACACACGAGTCGCGTAACTCCCGCGGGACACGTGCTTTTTGCGGAACCGCGTCTCACAGCATGGAGAGCTGACTGACTGACTGACTGACTGACTGACTGACTGACGAACGGATGGGCGGGAAATGCGCCCTTGCGAAAGGGTAACTAGTTTACGATCTGTCCTTTTCGAGACAGCTTTTGATTTTGTCACTTGCCCACTAGCGCGCTTGTCGATTTCTATTAATAGAAATTGACAAGCTACGATAATTGCGAAATATGCAATTCTGCCTGCCATGCCTTGCGGCAGGCATATATAACTTTTGTTCCAGTTTGATAATCGACTTTAAGCGTTCTGTTGTATCCGCTTTATTGATCGTGGATTTAATTTCCATTTTTGAAATTTACTCATTATGCTGCGTGACTGTGTGATTTCTTTGGTGTTTTTTTTTTTTCTTTTCTTATCTTTCTCGCTTTCTTCTTTAACTTACTTCTGCCTTTTTTGCCTTATATTGTCGAAAAAGTTGACGAATAAACATAAAGTAAACGAACGAATGGCGCATGTGCGGTACGGTGAGATTCCTGGCCGTGCGACAAAGCTCTTTTGTTACGGGCGTTGCGTATGAATCATCTTCGTGAAACGATATCGGCAATTTGCACGACATCAATATGCCTTCGTCGGGCTTCGGCACGAGTGAACGGATATTTCGTTCGACGTAAGTATGTATAAAGTTGAAGTGTCGTTACTCGACTCGGCGATAAGAGGAGAATTCACGAGTCGACTCTGAGGGAACTTGAACGAAAGGACCGCGCGTCGAAATTTGCGTGCGGAACCAACACGTATCCCGAGACGCCAACGTGTTACGCACGACGAGATGAAGCGTCTAAGAGTTTCCTCCCTTTCTCTGGAGAGCGGGAGGACTTTGATTAATGCTTCGGCACGTGAAAAATGGCGGGGGCGCGGCCGCGACTCCTCGAAATAGCGAGGGCGGTGATGACGTTGGGGAGTCATCGAGAATTTTTCCTAGCATACCGCCGCCCGGAGAAACGCGCGGACGCGCACGCCTCCGGGGCGCGGGGAGAGAAAGGGAGAAAGAGCAAAAAGATTCAACGGAGAATCACGGTCCGTTACGTTGAGTGAAGAAACTCGCGTTGAAACTGTCGAGTATCGGCAGCCATTCGCACGCGAACGGATCGATGCGGGCGCGCGTTGCACCGCGAAGCGGAGAAGTTGACGCGTTCCTAAAACTGTACAGCTGTTTTCTACGAATAATGGCGAGCTTTTGTACGATAATAATACAAATCGCAAGGGAGGAAGCGGCGCTACGAGGCACGACGCTTTTTGTATAGATTTTATCGCGCGCGTGGCCGCACACGCGCGCGCGCACAGCTTGTCGGCGCGCTATGGACCAAATGAAAATTTATCACAGATCACGGCGCATTATTGTGTCCGATGAAATTTATATCAACTTCGGATGTGTCCGATCCGCCGTCGATGACGACGGCGCGATTATCGCCTCGCGAGAATTTCGTGTATACTCGTTAAACGTCCTATTCGTTTAATTAGAGATCTCTCACGGCTGAAACGCCGTCGGCGATTTTTAATTAACACACGCAACGTCGACGTTATTATTCGCTAATTAAACGTTCTCCCGCTGAAAATTCTCCCTCGCTCCGCGCGCGTTATTCGTTGCTAACCGATCTCCACTGCCACATTGTGCAAGAAGTAGCAGGTGAAAAAGGACCGATTCCGCTCCAAATTACGATGTATAAAGCAAGATAATCCTCTCTTCCTCCCTCCCTCCCTCCCTCCCTCCTTCTGCCCCCTCTTTCTTGCCAAAAACTCGAAGAAACCCGGGGAATTACAACCGGCGATTTACGCGATTTCTTTTTATTAGCCGAAATTATGATCTCCATCAGAGCGCCACGACTGCGTACGTGTATATTTCCGTTAACGAAGCGGTTTCGACTTCGTTTATCGTCGCAAGAGAATTATTTTGCACAGTTATACAGAGGTTTCCACTACCCCCCCCCTCTCTCTCTCTCTCTCTCTCTCTCTCTCCTCTCTCTCTCTCTCTCTCTTCAAGCCGGTGAATGGAAACAATAGCGCGCACAGGACTGAATTAGTACACGCGCGCGCGTGAAATGAAATTATTTCGCAAGTAAAAAAAGCGGAGCGTATCGAGCGGCGAAATTCCTCTCCAGACCGAAAGTCGCCGCGGCGAGTTAATTGGCTGCTGTTCTTCTCATTCATTCGCTCTTTAGATGCATGCGCACCATTGTGCGTATCAAAACCTCGGCGTTTTCTGGTGCTTTGTGCTAATTGCTACGACGGTTAACGGTCGTTATTAGGGGGCAGCACGGGGCACGGGGCTACATCAAATTGCAGTTTTGTAATATTTAACGCGCAAGTTTCACGGTTAAATTTTAATTACATAAATAACGCGCGCGCGCGCATGCGGGCGGAATAATTTCGCTGGATCTCGATTATTTGCGTTATCTATAAAACTCACCGCGGTAATATGCGCAAGTTAATTATCCCGATATTATCGTCGCGGGTTGTAATTGTTGTAACGCGGCTGGAACTTTCGTCCTCCCTGTGTATAACAGAACGGTAATGTATATATACGTGTAATGTATATACACGCGGTGATATAAATAACCTGGGCACGACAAAACGCGCGGGCACGTTGCATTAAATTATAGATAACGGGCGCGATTTCGGTAATGCGCCCACCGGGGGCCCCGCGTCAACTTCTCAACTTCGAGAAGTTTGAGCGTGCAGCGGCGCAACGAGCGCGACAAGAATCAGGACGCGAATCGCCATCGTCGCGTCAAGTAGCGGAGACGAAATGAAAAAAACCACGTTCCCGAGATTTGAATGCTTCAGTAAAGTAAAGCTCCTCAGATCAAAGCCCTTCAATATCTGCCGGACACATCCGGCCGGATCTATCGTCAAAAATGCAACCTGCCCGAAGCCGCATTTACAAGCTGGTAAAATCACACCCACGCTTGCGAGTTTATTCTATGACTCTCTCATCGACAATGTCGCTGTGGTTGCGCAGCTTTTCTACCACATAACATACCCGCCTAACAATAACGACATTATCATTAAATGTATCGCGAAACAGATTTTGCATTCCCGGATTATTCGGTTAACGAGAAAGTAACTCGAACGAGACTTTACCAAAGCGTACACACAGTTTAAATTACGTGCAATAACGAATCGGGGACTTTCCTACTGGATCCTAGCGGATCCTGATTCTGACGTCGAACCTCTTTCTCACTGATAAAATTCCGAGACGATCACGTCGACTCGGCTCGAAAGAACTAACGCGACCACCCGCATGCTTCGCTTGTCTTCTCTCGCGGAATACACAAACGATGGCTTCATTTCCGCAACAAGGCACAACAGGATGCGCTTCGGACGAATCATCGCGGGGTTTCGCATCTTGACCGTCACTTCATCCCAATTCCAGTTCGGAAACGCGCTTTCGTGGTCACGAGCGAGCGAGCGAGAGAGAGAGAGAGAGAGAGAGAGAGAGGAAGGGAGGGAAGGAGGGAGAGCACGGAACTCTCGCGAGCGCGCGACACGCCGAAATATCTCGCGCGCCGATATAATTGTACAGCGCGAGCGCGCGCGCGTGTCGGAGGTATCATTCCGTAATCTATGTAGTCCCGGTCGGACGGGGGATTATGTTAAGCGATGCGTGAGCGCGCGGCCACAGTCCACAGCAATCCAGGCGTAACAGAGATACTGCTCGGTGACGTCGTTACACTCGGCACACACACACACACACACATGCGCGTCCGCGTCGCACTTATGTACGCACTCCGCGATTATGTATTGTACATAAGCGCCGCGAGGCGTACATACGCCCCGAGCGTATATTTGTGTATCGCGGCTTGATACGCGCGCGAGATGCATTACCGCGAGCGCAGCCTGATCGCGGTCTCCGAAAGGATGCGCTCAGGGGCGGATATACGGGGACATCAAGGAAGTTTAAGCTCCTGCGGAGATAACGCCGATCGGATGAGTCTGTCAGTTCTCTCTTCTTTCTTATTTTTCAAGTCGGGAAAATAAGAGAGAGAGAGAGAGAGAGAGAGAGAGAGAGAGAGAGAAAGAAAGGGAGAGAGGTCCATGTTGGTTGTCGCGACATTATAAGATTTACGGTTAGAGAAATCCTGGCGATTAAACCGGCCGGCTCGAGCTTCCGCTGAGACACGAGCTCGACTTCCGCTCGCGAATACAACGAACAATTTTCCGTTATTTAACGTTTACTCTTTTACACTTATAGAGTTTTACGCACGAGGAGTGCTCTCTTTCTCTTCCTCACGCTATTTTCCGAGTGGCTTATAATTCGAGTGCCGTTGGAGCACTCGACATTTTCTACAGCGACGGAAAGGTCGCGCCGCTTCGGAAACAATCGTCCGCCGGTGGTGATCCCGGATGTGACGTCTCGCGTCGAACGGCTCCGGTTCGTCGAAGACGAGCACGCGGCTGCGGAGTTATCAATTAGAGGCGCCGAGAAGCGGGCGTTCGGCCCTGGCCGAACGACACGTCGGGTTAATCGCGAGGGCACGCCGCGATATCGCGATTAATAAGCAGAAAATGCGGCGGTTTACCGATGTACGCGTTGTCACCGCGCGCGACAATGGCGTACCGTACGTACGTACGTACATACGTATGTACGCGCGTACAACGGATGACGCGTTTTTGGAGCGGTATATTACGGTTCGCGGCACAATTCAGCGCGCTCGCGCGCGATTCATCGCGCAAGAGAGGATTGTGTTCATGTAGGGCTGGATGCCGTTAAACATAGAGCGTGTCGGCGTTTTTTTTTTTACCGTGAATATACTGGATTGCAATGCAAACGCTGCATTTCGCGTTAGTGAGTTACGTATTCGAGTACTCTCCACCCTCCTACCAACGTCCCCCCCTCCCCCCGGCAACTCGCGGACGCGTGTCGCGCCGGGATTTTATTTTTTGTTTCTGGCGTGTTAAGAGTTGATTGTGCCGTTAAAGCGTGACGGCTTAATGTGCAATCGCGTGTTTTTGCTGGGTTTACACCGTGGCTTCACTGTGCAACGTATCGTTCTTATCACCGCAGCGAGCGTGAATTAAAAAAAAAAAAAAAAAAGGAAAGACAACAAAGTGGACTGAAATGCCGTCAGAATTTCTGATCCGTTCGACGATTTCTGCCACTCTGCGCGAATTGCCCGCGCCGGAGAAACGGACGCGCATCTTTGTCGAACGCGGCTTTTTTAGTCCTTCTTTGTCACATCGCCATGATTTTTCGGCGCAAAGATGCAGACGAGCAGCGAATCTCAAAGAACGAAGGGGTGGGGACCAGACAAGAACCGCTCAATGGCTTCCGACGCTGCACGAATGAAACTTCGAACGTCCGCATCTCGGCAGCAAATTGACACAAGAAATATATTTAGATAAGGGGATAGAGAATAACGGATACGTTTTTGTTACATAAAAATGTTTAGAGGAGAATCACTTTTAAGTCGTGAGCATTTTCGCGAAAATCGGGCTCGCGCTCGCGGGAACTTGGTATTCATCGTATTCTTTTTCTCGCGGTTACCTACAGGTTTTATACTCGTTTTACACACACACACACATACAAATACACGTACACACACATCTCACGAGTGCGCGATACTGAAAACAGTCCGAATCAATACTTCGTTTTAAAAAAGCAACGTCTTTGGATCCGAGGCCATCTTATATTCGCGTTATGGACGGAGGATCCGCACGAATTTAAAGCGAGGTACATTTTACGAGGCTGTTAAGTATTAAACCGGAAAGCTTGATACGCCCTCCGCTTCCACGGGAATTTATGTCCGTATTCATTATTGCAACAGTAAAAAGACGCTCCTCTCTAAGGAGCCTGGCCATCTAAAAAGGAGCGGCAATAAAATCCCGCGTCTGTGTGATCATTTTCTAAAAAGTGCCGCGTATACGGATTTCATCTCTCCTAAAGCCTACCGCGTTCAATCAAACCTGTGTAGGATTTGAAAGCCGTTGTGGGGAGAAGGAGGAAAGGAAAAACGAACGATCGAAATGATTCCGCGCAAAAGACGAATGCATGCGAATATTTTCATGCGCGAAATGTATGTCGCATTTAATTCAGCTCGCAACCACGCTTAAAGCGTCTCCGAAAGCGCATTTTAAAGTACTGAGCATGTAGAAAAAGTTACTGTGCTTTTTCTTAGCTACGAAATTTTGAAAAAGTACGCGGTCGATTTCCCGCAAAATTTAACAGAAACTACCGTCATACCGTAACTTTTTGGTAATATTGCTACTTCGAAATTTAACCGATTATTTCAGATCTTTATTTTCATAGACACTTATTGGACGTTGTTGATACTTCGTTGATGCCTGTTAGATATTTATGTAATAAGATTATTGATTAAATTTTGTTGTGAAAAATACTCTGCTTCCAAAAGTGGAGCGAAAAAAGTTCAATCGTTGAGATCTTTCACGTATGTGTATAACGCGACGATGGGAGTGTATTTATTTTTTATAATATTTATTGTAATATATGCTTTTATACGGAAGCTCTTTTCAAACCGATTGCATATCGTCATAAAGATAATATTCTCGCGAGTTTTATGACGAGGAATATGCTCTTGGAAAAAAACCGTGGAATAATAATTTTAAATAAATGCATCAAGGCCTTCGATATCTTCGCGCTTTTATAAATATTTTAAACATTGGTCTTTTCACATTGTCACACCTGTCAATATGTCAGGCTTCCTGCAGGATGAATAATAAAAAGGAATCAAAAATAAAGAAGAGAAAAAAGCTGAACCGGCGGTGTGTATATTTTTATTTTGACCGATCGTATATATACGATCGGTCACGATGATATATATATATATATATATATCATCGTGAGCATATCCATATCTATCGCAATGAGAAATTCGAAGCCGACTATCGATCTTGGCGTCTTACGCTGCCGAATAACAGCCCTGTGTTCTCACGCTTGCATTTACATTTCATATTTTATGCAAAACGCGTACTTCGCCACGGTGTGTCCTCTAATTTCTCCTTGATTATAGACATTAGGATCTATTTTCTTCAACGTGACTCACCGCCGACTACGGCGATATTTTTCCGTCGCATAGGACAATGAGAGAAGAGAGGAGGGCACTAATAGCGACTTATTAGACTTTACGACGTACTTCGTATTGTCCTCGCTGCGTAATCATGCGACGTGGAGGAAAGTTACGTTTGCAAATGAGTTCAATATACCACGGCGTTAGCATTGAGAGACACTTTTAATTCCAGAAAGCCGAGAAAAATGGCCGTCTCGCCCGGCGCATTATTCCGCGGCGATAATCGAAATTCGAGCCGTCCCCTCCCCTCCTCACGCGACAAGCACGCGCCGACGTTCCTCTGTTTTCTTTTCTCGCGTATCGCGAGCGAACATATCGCGCAAAATACGCGACACCGCGATTTCGCCCTCGCTAACTTTTATTGATTATCCTCGATCTAAACGCAGTCACCGTCGTCGTTACCATCGCGTCGCCATAATTTTTTTTTTCGCAACGCCATCAGCTGTCGCGAGCTGTTACGGGCTGTTTGAAAAATTCCCGCTGTATCCGCTACACAACACACAGCGGGATCCACTTCCCCCTGCCTCTCCACGGCGACGACGGCGCTATTAACGTAGCTTAAACGATTGTCATCGTATCCGAGGCGAGTGCGGCGACACGCGGAACGTATTATATCTCCATGAGAAAAGCCCATCCGCCGGGCGATATTACTCGCGAATGCCGCCGCCCCGCCAAGATTTACTTTCGACCGAACAAAAACATTTATTCTGCATTACGCCGAAATACCCTCGCGCCGGTAATTTCTGTCAACGTACAGACGCGCGCGCGCACCCGCGCACGTCTTGTGTATTAATATTTACTCTGCCCGGCGAAATCCTCTTTTCCCGCCATTTACCCCTCCGCGCTGTCACTCCATTTGATTTCACGATGTCGCGTTTATACTTCGCGTGGCGATGTCTCGAAGCGTTCGCCGGGGCAACGTGCCGCTGCGACGCCGCGATATGTTGCTCGTGCCACATGCCGACGTACAGACGTAACGAGCACACAGGATGTCTTAGCCCTAGTCCTAGCCCTTCTCGTTAATAATTAATATTGGACGCTCGGAAAAGTGTCATGCCCGAGCGCGTCGCGCAATCGTGTTTATTTTCCCGTATCGCCAGACTCACACACACACACACACGTAACACTGTGTGTGTAACGGTTCTCTATATCGACTTTCTCTCTCTTTCTTTCTTTCTCTACCTGTTTCTTTCTTCTCTGCGTCTCTATATCCTGTCTCCACCATTCTCTCTCTCTCTGCCGCTCTCGCTAACGCGCGTGGGCGAATCCGACACGTTAAAATGTAATTCCAATTCTCTCTCCGTCCTCTCAAAGCATTTCACGCTCAGTTTACTACGATCCGTCCGCGTTCGGGGTTACGACCGCCTAAGTATTGTCTCCGAATGAATTCAATCTGCCGCGCGTTTTG